CCCCAAAACCCCAAAACCCCAAAACCCCAAAACCCCTTAGTATGAATTTTGATGTTTAAAAGTAATAATAAGAATGTGTCAGTTAAAAGAAAATTAAAATAGGAATATTTAAAAAAAATTAATGTAGAGAGAAAAAGGTAAGTTCACTAAGTTACACCTATACAAAAACATTAATCGCCAGCCTACAATCAAGGAGAACACCTAGTCCACTTAACCTTCTACTCCTATAAATAAATCACCATCAAAGATGACTGACGAAGAAAAAATTAGATACCGTAATAAATTGTTCTAAGAAGGAGATTAAATTGGAGACTATTTGGCTGAACAGATCAGTAAATGTGAGGAGGTCAGGAAGGAAATGAGAGAATAGATAGCTGAAAACCAAAACTTGCAAAAAGAATATGACAAAGAACACGAAACTTTTAGACAGCATATGGAAATAAAGATTAAAAAGTATTGTAGTAAGAGCTTTGCTTAGAATTAAAATCCAGTAAGCTCAAACAATGTCCAACTTTACATGAATCGAAGTGGTGTTAGAGACTCTACTACTTCAAGAGATACTTCTTAATAAGATATCGAAGTAGTTGAGTATAATGGAGATGGAACACGCAGATCAAGACGCTCTTCCCAGAAAGTATTGAGGATGACTAGCAAAGAAATCAGACCAATAAAACATCCATACTATCAGAGAAATTTATAGTCTGCAGCTATAGCTCTAGCCAACCAGCAGCCTCTTCATATTTAGTCTCATACTAAAAGCAAGCTAAGATTGATGAATCTAAGAGAAAACAAAGAGAATCATTCTTATATAGATACTAAACAAGAAGGATCATTTCAGAGGCCAGTTTCTAGTGATGAGTTTTTAGTAGATGCTTAACTATATGATACAGCAAGAAAAAGAAATCTTTTTACTCAGAGAAACAAAAACAACAACATAATGAGAACAATCAATGAGAGTAATCTACTATTGAAACAACAACAATTATAAAATTAGGAATCTTAGAATTCTCAATAGTCAGTCTCTTCAACAAATGTCAAGTATTCGACTCAATCTCAAAGTAGAGAGCCAAGTGTGCAATCAGTGTAAAATGCATTGATACACCAGCATTCTGCTTTTAAATTAAGGAATCCAAGTATCCCGAGTGTTAGACTACCTTCCACAATGATGTTGCCTGTCCCTAATTCAGTGAATAACATCGCTAGAAGCGCACAAAGACCCTATAATCTTGGGAACAGATCTAATTACATATCCTAGATGAATGTTTAGGCTCCAAATAGTAATGTATCAAGTAATGCTGATCTAAAATAAGCCTAGGCATATATGTAAATTAGCAAGTAGAGCTTCATATTCACAAAGAGACATCAGTAGCAACAATTAATTAGATCGAGGCATGACTCCAATGATGATCTTTTATGTGAGGATCTCCTAAAGAAGCGAATCCTATCTACTAAAAATATATAGAATAGGAAGCTTTGGAAAATCTGAGGAGAATCTGAGCAAATCTATTATTTAAACCACAACTCAATGCTGTATCTCGTGGACTGATAAGCTAAGGAAAGTAGAAAAAATGAGATCTAATCCAAATTTATATCTATTTCAAAGGTTTTATAAATCAAGCATTATTTTAACATTCATCAACCACCTATACTAAAACTTATAAATTATATTGATTAGCGGGGTTTTGGGGTTTTGGGGTGACG